CATTTGTTTTTATTTTTTACGTTGCCTAAAAGTAGCAGCTTATAAATCAGAAACACATTTCGATCAGAAAAATTCATATTCGTATTAGATTAGATAAACCAACGAAAAAAAAGAATAAATTAAAACTCTTTGTACCCGATACTATAGGAGAGAAAAGAAACACAAATATTACTTATTTTGTGACCCAACAATGGAGAAATCACTCTTTATTCTTCCCAACTTGGATTAAAATTAAAATAGTTACGGCTTGGCCTAGTTTCTAAAATCAGCCTCTATTATCGTGACGTTGCGGGGTTTAAGTACCAGCTGAAGGGCAATTTGAATTACGATTAATTTGAAGGTACGTCGGTGTAAAAGGATCGGAAAGGTATCCTCAATCGGTATCGACGCCTCGTAAAACAGTTCACGGGTTAATGATTCACGGCTAGTAAACTAATGAAGTTAGATTTATAGGTGCGTAAAGTCGGTCGTATACTTTAAGCATTACGTTCGGGAAGATTTAGGTCTATTTCATTGACCACAAAGATGTGTTTCGTGGGGCCTTAATGTTAGTTTATGGCAGCTAATGGTAATTATTGTTATTGGATTCAAAATTCACGTCATCCGAGCCCTTCGTTAAGAAAATCGTAGAACTGTTAGATAATCAACAATAAAAAAAATGTTTCATTATAGCTTTACCGAGAATAAAGAACACGTTTATACCTTTACGGTTATAATTTTATAGATTCACGATGACACGCTAATCCCAATATTTAGCCACTAATGGCTTACAATTAGACAACCGTAAAAGCATAATAAAAAATAGTACGTCGAGCGAGGGTTTTTATGAAGCTTTCTTAATTAATGGTTCGAGTTAACCAATCTCTCGAACTTCATGATTATTTTATTTATTATCTCGACTTGATTCTTCTTCGCGTATTAAACTTCAAGATTTCACGAAATAATTAAATTCTTATTAATTGTATTCAAACGCAGTCTCCGCGATTACTTTATTTTTCATCTACATTTAATTATACAAACATTCTTTACTATATACAGTACTAAATTCATCTATCAATTGAATTCTCATCTCCTCTCACGGGCAAGTATGTCACCCTCGCTATAGAAACAGAAATACCAACCGGATACTTTCCGTTGTCCACTTTTCATGTAAAAACCGACCCTAAATTTATTCACTTCGTTAGATCACAATGACTATCTTATCGCACGATTTATTTCGCTTCAGAACCACTCTGTAAATGCTTTTACGCGCGAACTGCGGTCAGCGAAGATAATTGATCGTAAAATTGCATGGATATCAAAATTGAGAGATTACGTGACACGAACTTACGAGAAAGTCAGGTTTGCCTTGGCGTGCAAACACTAGGTTATCCGTTACACGGGATCGTAATAGTTTATCTGATAAACGGGTTCCAATTACAAGACGATGTCCACGGCCCTGCATTCCCCTGCGAATCTCGCGGAATTTCACTTTATAGGGTTCGCGGCTCTATTTATGACTATTCGCCGGCATTGGATGTTTCACTTGTTCAGAGGAGAACGGGTAGATAGCGTGCATACGGCATTCATTCGTTTAATTCGATCTGGCACAGCTTCTACTTTGAACATCTAGTCTATTTCAACGGAAGTTTACGTCATTTGTAGGGCAAAGCTTTAGGTGAATTTACAGGATCGTTTAGATAATGTTGTACCGTGATCTGCCTGAACTTCCATACTTCAACAGTAATATTTATCGAAGATGTCGAGGGTACAATAATGTTTGCTTTAGTGATACAAGCCAGTTATGCTTTACTGTACTAATAATTAAACAGTTTTTTTTTTTTTTTTAAATCGTTACAGGATAGAACGATGTTTCATTTATTAACACAAAGTTTCTTAGAAAGAAGCAAGAGTTTAAAGCTACTGAATATAACATTTTCTTTGCTGCTTCGGTAGCTTTAAACTCTTGACTCGAATCTCAAAATTTTCCATGATTTTACTGAAACGAAAACAAATTCAACGATCAATAAATTAACGTAGCTAACGATTAAATACGAAAGAGCTTTTTAAAAGCTACAAAATGGTAGATAACGCTTGCGTATAAAGCAATTTTAATGACTTCAAAAAATCGCACACAAACTGAAACGACGTAAAAAACGCACGAGCTTATGGTTCGCTGTAATAGTTCTAGGATCGTTGAACGCAGCCGAGTATTGCGTGCTTAAATTGTAATATGTTAGAGGTTTCGCGAAGAATGTCGCATCTCGAATTAAGGACACAAAGGCTGCAAAGACTTAGTCATTTAGCGAATCGTTCTGTTGCCGACAATTTCATAAACTGGAACCTTTGTACAGTTGTGTCCTCTACATAGGCTTTTGACCTAATTATCTCGGCCGTAAGCTATTACAAGACAATTCCAAGAATTTCATGGAACTACTTCGATCGGTAGCATTAGTTACCGTTCCTCCCCTAAAGTACGAAATTCACGCTTGGCGAACAGAATTTTCCAGACAAGTGATCAGGATTTTTTACTATTAGAAATGTTTTACAACATGAGCATCTGTGAAATTAGATTGTCTATTTACATAAACACGACCACGTATTGGGTTGTCCGGAAAGTTCGTGGCAATTTTTAAGAAAAATTCAAAGGCACGTTTGAATTTTGATATATATTTATTGAATGATATAAATACCATTTTGTTCCACGACCTTTCCACCTTTTAAGGGATGCACCTGTGTTAATTGTTTTCAATCATTCCAATATAAACAGACGTGCACCATCTATCAAAAATCGCCACGGACTTTCCAGACAAATGAATAAAATAATTGAGTGCAACTCGCGATAGAAACTTTCGGCAGAACCTAATATATTGAATAGGCCAAGTGCCTTTTATCTAACGCTTAGAGAATTTAATGCATAGTGGTTCCGGAAAGTATCCGGAAAGTTATGGACGGTAGTGGAAGTTAAGAGCTAATAGGATACATAACGCGATCCGATAACGGTTCCGCGATGAGCCGCGTTCGCACTATCATCGGTCCGTCCGATGATACGGTTCGCGTTTCCCCGCACTCCTGGAGCCGTGTTCGACGTTATCTTTGGATAGCGTATCCTTCGATCGTTGTATCGCGATGGCGAAACGGTCGGCGGGGAGGATTCAGGATAAACGACGCGGTCGAATCTCGAATGCGATAACCGCTGCCAGTTCGTTGCGTGGCCGCAGATGCTGGCTCTCCGCGTGATTTGTGGTCGTCCGAGAGAGGATCTGCGGTTGTGCTAGAGACGCGGACGACCCGTATCCACGCGAAGAACACGTCACGGAACGTGTTAAACGTTCGCGTTAACAGCCTGCGATTCCCTTGGGACGTCAGCCGGTCGGTGTCCGGCCGATCGTGATTTCGTATTCGGGAGTGTATCGCGTTTCATGAGATTTAGGAGTCTAGGACCGTACTGGTTAGGGAGAATTATAATTCGAACCGTTGGTCACTTGGTAGCGTTTAACTGGTCACCTTACGTCGCGTCGTTATCTCGCGGTCTAATACGAGGATCATTCTACGTACGTTTCATTAATAGAAATATATTATCTTCGTTAGATAGGAAGCTTTCTGATCAACGAAAACTCTAATAGAGAGAGAGAACGGAGCTCTGTATCGTAGAAGATGGATCGCAGTACGAACATCTGATGTAATTTATTTTATAAGAATTAATTTCTTATTAAAATTACGTTTTCACGAAATTGTTGAGTATAAAGTCATTTTATAAAGACATAGTATAATATAATACACCGTTGAATTTGTTTCGATATCAGCAACGACGCTATATTCATAAAATTGGGGTTTTGAATTAAAAACACCCATGCAGTCGTGTACAATTCAAATGTTCGATTCTACAGAATGCTTTACTTCTGTTACACAATTGGAAAACATTGCTTTTAGATGTATTTTTTGGAAAGCAGAAGAAAATTGTTCTTTGCATGCTCTTTAATATGCTCAACATTCGTACGAAGTTTCATTTAAATCGGAATTTCTGGGTTTGAGAGTTTTTCTTGTCAGCTTACCACGTGCAAGGTCGTCGAAATCCAAAGCTGTTCTTCAAGAGCTACCTTGACAAAATTTAACTTAAATTTTATGCAATCAGATAAATAGAAATTTGCGTACTGGAACCTGCTAAATTAAAAGATGAAAGCATTTCAGTTTGATTTGTGATCAAGAAAATAAGTATAAGATGAAACTTGACAAATTTTTAAAACTATAGGGTTTCTGAAATGTGACTTTAGGATTTTGTTTGTGAAACGACAGTATCGTTCATGTTTATTTGTATATGTTTACGTGTACTTTCGTTAGAAAGAAAAAAATCGAATGCGCGTCAAACCATTTGTTTTATTAAGAAACAAAATTTTGAAGCCCTTTTTGGAAAACACTTTGTAACTTATATAAAAGTATCTCATTAGTAAACTTTCCGCATTGTAATTCTTTAAGAAATTTTACATTTAATTGTATCATCATTAATTTCACATCCTACTGTTTGCGATCGTCTTTTAGAGAAATTTACATTTCATTCATTTAAATTTACATTCGCGTTGAACCTCTACATCTCTATCGAACCATCAAATTTCGACATACATTTCATCGATATGACGTGTCATGTGATGTTTTCACATCGAACGTCTTCGCAGTATAAAATCTTAACTTGTAACCTATACCAGCGCAAGATCTACGAATATCGCATCGTGCTATAATATTTCATCCGACAAAAAGACATACGTGTAACGTGCCGTAATATAACCGAAACGAGTTCAAATCATTTAGAAGCAATTAGAAAATAATTATCGCGGAACGATTCTGCAGTTATCTGCATCAATGATTAAAAAGATGTTATCGATCGTTTCCTTTATTTCGGACCACGTGTCAGTGTTTCGATTTAAGCTGACAGCTGACGATCCGTCTGTGACAGGCACGTGGACGCACATTAATTATGGAAGCAAAATAGTGCGATAGAGAAACGCAAATTTGTATTTACAAACCTTTCGTGACTTCAAGGCGTGCACCACGTTGGGTCTCGAGTATTTGTATCCAACGAGAAGCGCAATGGAAGCTGCTGCGATCACCCCGGCACCGGTTCTCCATTTTTTCACATCACTAGCACCACGCCACGAGACGTACGAATGAGTGACACCACGAAAATGCCGAGAGAACGAAGACACTTGTCGTAATAACCTTGCTACGGTCGCCATCTTTAACGCGGACGTTTACTATCACGCGCATGCGCCGCGATACTGCCGGCAAATTCCTTTTACTTAGCATGTGACGTCGCGACGCCTCGAAATTAAATCAGTGATTACCAAACTATGCTGCACGTATACATTAGTAATATACTGTAAACAAACTGATATTTTCGGCAATATCAACACCATTCTCAAAGATAACTTCGCGAGTATGTCCTAAACTTTCGTTGGCCTTATCGTAATTGTTCCTTGGTGTCGGATGGAGCGATACACTTCATTAGAAACTTTTTGAAATGAAATGTCTTGAAATGTAATTACGAATCGAAGATTTTCAAGCTCGTTGTTGATTGTATTTCTCTCTTGCTTATTTTCTGCTTAAATCTTCGTGATCCATTCACGGTTGATCGATGTCTGTAAAACTTGTTATGCCCAGCAATTTAGCAGAAAGTGAAATGAAACAATTTGATAATATTGCCCAATAATTATGGATTCCTCTGAGCAAGTCTGTACTACTTACGTAAAACGACATACGTATTGATATAATTAATATTATTAGATATACATTATAAAACAGAATCAAACATGTCGATAACAAAAAAAAAAAACACTGTTTATTGTCTAGAACAAACTACTATCTAGAAATGACTTAGACTTTTCATAATTGAAAATGTAATTACGCGATTCACAAGATTCTGCTAATAATTAGAATTAACGATTCGAACCTATTTATAACAAATTATTTCCGTTCACTGATTCGCTTGTTTCCAAGATCGCTAGTCTCGGTCTCTCCCAAACGAACCTCGACGACGGGATGGGTCATTAAGTGCGCGCAAAATCAAACAACCCGCGTTGAATCGTCGAGGATAGATCAATGATCGTCTCTAGCAGAAATAGGAAGACGCACGAGGGGAAACAGTCGTCGGTCGAGCGGCTCGAAATTTACACGACGAAAATAGCGTTGCGCATAAAGCGAAGACACGGTTCGAAGGGTGTTATGTAACGAAAACGGTGCCATCTTCACCCACGATATACATACCGTGACGCAATGTTGAAAGAGTTTCGTTCAAGCGCCGCGAGTGCTAAAATTATGCGGGCTAATGTACGCATCGGGGTAATACTCCGGCTACCGGTTACCTCGGAGTAACTAAGGTTTGACGATCATTAACCGGGACTACTTGCTTTCTTCTTCGTGGTTGCATTATTTATAAATGCACCCCGCTGCTCGAACAACCGGACTGCGCAATCACGCGCAGATAAATCTTTCCTTCCTACTTCCAACTGAAAATACACGAAGCGGCTCATAATTATTCCAACTACAGTGAATTGTAACTTCACTTCGAACGGTCTAGTTAAACCGCGTCGATCGAGTTAGCAGCTCTATCCGTGAAATATGAGTTCGTTCACTTTGCGCCAGCCCAGTGGCGTAGTCAATTTTTTAGGCCCTCAGGCGCGGGAAATCATTCTTGAGACCCCTTACTTTTATTCAAATTGTTGGCGTGTACAATACACACGGCAACATACTAGGTTGCGTAATAAGTCCGTTTGCATTTTAACGTGGGGGTAATACCGTCAATTTTATATAGAATTTATCTAATTTACGATATAGAAGGTGGTCCTCCGAATACCACTTCGGATTAAGTGAACATTGTTGCTGGTAGTAAAAATTTGTTGTAGACAGCTTTGAATGCTTTCAAGTGGGTTATATTCTAATGTTGCTATTTTTTTTTTTTTATTTATGGACACGTAGAAAACATATAAAAGTCACTAAGAATTTTTTCAATTCTACTATTAATAACTCTACCAAAAATTTATTAAGGGGGATTCTTGGTTTGTTGGAAAAAAATCGATGTTTTTTTTTTTCAATTTTATGAAACTATGTACCTTTTAAAATGAACAGTTTGAATTTCATTGAAGAATCCAATGAGCATACACAAATATGCCATAACAAATAAATTAACAAATAAGTATGAATATTTGGGAACTCTTTGGGATTAATGATGACGATAATATCTTTTGAATTTATTTTATCGGCACATTTATTGCTTCTTTAGGTTGTAGGATTTCTTGGTTATACTGTAACATGTTCTTGATGAATTGTAGCCTTGGTAATTTTATATTTAGATCCTCGCGCCATAAAAGGTGGGGAACACTGACGTGCTCGTAAAAAAATAGTTAATTCATAAACGAATTTTATCTTTTTCTTGTCTCGCGACGGTTCTCTTATTTCATCAGGTGTAATAATAAGTTAGCCTCTTAACACGTTCCGCGCGAAATGATTGTGATTAAAGTCGGTAATTAATATTGGTTACACTAATGGTATTTATATGCCAACGGTGATGGAGCAGTATATCATGCGTAGTTGAGACGAATTTATAATAATTTGATAGCAACGTTGATCTCGATCGTTCGATCGAAATTGCAGGTTAAATCGCGGTGATTTATCGACAAATTATCAACCGCGGAATTAGAAATGCATGGGGCCTATATAAAAACAATATCTCGCGATTAATTGTCTCCATTTGAGGAGTCTCTTGATATTAATTACGAAATAATTGAAATTCGTAACGTAACTCGTTACTTATCACATCGGAGAATAATTTAAAATCATGTACCGAATCAATGGAATTTCTTCGACAGGCAAAGAATCTGTCTACGCAAAAAGTGCATAAACGTCGTCTACTAATTGGAAACATCCGTATATCTCACTGTTCTTGCGATCCTGCCGCGACCCAGCATTCCGAAAAGAAGAAAACACCTCTGGGATTCCCCGAGTCGTTGCGCTTCGCATTCCTCGTGACCTGAAGAAGAAGCAACCAAAAATAAGAAAAAAAAAAAAAAAAAAAAAAGAGAGACGAACTTGTCGCACATACGGCACCCGACTGTAAACTATAGGAAAAAAGAAACTTGTCGTTACCTCCGCGAGTCTTTCGCAATGGTGATGAACATTCTTCACGACGCTCGACGTCAATCGGGGAATCCCCGCAGGTCTGCACCCGTGCGCTCTCGGTGTACTCGTCGCAGAACAATCGCCTCGTTAATTCGCATTTACGCAGGAACGTAATTATTTCCCCGACACTTCGTCTGAGCCAGCCATTCTTCCGGCGAACCTGTCGTCGTTAAGCCTCTGGCCGCCTAACCGTTTCCTGGTTTAGCTAAGAAACATTCGTTTAACTTCGTGCCTGCCACAGATAGGAACAATTATTTCAGGGGTGCTCTACCTATAATGTTAATCCATTCGTTCTCAAAACGCGCCACTGCGAGTCTAACTCGCAGTTGCCAGTCCTTAGACAATTTTAGAACGGAGTTCGTATTGTCTTGATGAATATTGAATAGATCTTAGGCATAATTTTAACACATTCTTTTTATTCTATACACTACATATTTACAGCGTTGATATTTCAAAACATATTTTGCAGTTTTTATCGTCGCTGTAACGATACAAATTTGCGATGTGCAGCTACAGAATTTGATTATTTTCTTCAGGACTCTGTAATATGACACTATGGAAACGTAACAAATCTCCAGGTCGGGAATCCGTGTCGTCTAAAGGTCTATTTACACATATCCGTAACGTGTCAGTTCCGTATCCGTTCAGTTCCGTAGTGTTCCGTCGGTGCCAGTGATTTTAAATATTCTTCTGTTGTTTTTGAACGGGCATGTTTGCACACGTCCGGCACCGCTCAGTGACGTTATTGATACGGTACGGATACGGAACTGACACGTTACGGATCTGTGCAAATAGACCTTAAACGTAAACGTATGAGAGTCAATGTCGGAATCCACGTAATAACACACCGACTGACTCGGTAGTTTCGGTGTTAACACAGTCCAGCGATCTTCCGACCTTTGGAGAAATAATCACTTGGATGCTTCCACACTTGGTTATATCGCTAGCATCCATCTTCGCGTTTCCACTTTAAATATAAACTTACGACGTTATTAATTCAGTAAAACAGGATGGTTGAAATGTTCCATAGGCGAGTGGGAACCCTTCGGCCTCAGTTTTCGTTTATCCCTACCGCAGTTACCGTAACCGAGCGATGTTCAAGTCCCGGGCGAGCATCGAAGGTAGCTCGAGGAAAGATTGTCTAGGAATTATGGGTTGCACCCGCGGCGCTGCGCTTCCGCGAGCTAGTAGCTACCAGTCGTGCATCCGCCAAGGCTATCGACTCTCTCATCTACGCTTATTTGAATAATTGAAGTCGATCTGGCCAAGCGAAGAGATCGCCGGATCGAGCGTGCGAGCACGTCTGCCGGCGGCGTCCACCTTCGACGCGACGAGCAAGAAAGGAGATGCTCCACCAGAGGGGATCCCTTTAATCGCCGGCACGATGACACCAATAATACCGATAACGCCACTCTCGGTACCGTGCCGATGGTTTTCAGAAAATACGATAAAAAGATATTGACAATAATGATACCGTGCGGGCATTTAGTCCGCTTGTTAATGACGTGATTGGATTATAAAACCACGGGACGATCGGCATCGCGCGTAGACGCAAATTAGTCACGAATGGTGAACCGAACGAAACGGAACGATTATTATTGCTACGCCGAGATCAGTCGATTAATCGATTTCGACGGTGGTTGGGAGATCGCTCGATGGTTAGATTCCATCGGTTCGACATTTTTCATAGACCTTGTCCTCTAGAGATCACTCGTTAGATGAACTTTTAATTAATTTTAACGAGGAATTTTTAAGCGCACGTTGTTTTGAGCTTCTTTGGAAAGAAGAATATCGAGAACGAAAGTCATTGCAACCGTTCGTGACTAGAGTCGGGATTTTTACTAGTTGAGCTGTTTTTCACGAGTGATATTTTATGTTACGACGAAAATACTCGAACACGCGCAAAAAATAATTTTACTGTTCAACTATCAATTTTCGTAAGAATTAATATGTATTCACAAGTTTTAAGATATCTCGAATATTTGAAGGCCTAAACGGAATGATGAAAACGAACAAATAATACAAACATAAATATTTATTATGAAAAAACTGTGCGCAGTGTGAACGAAGTACATGGACGAATTTTTCTTGA